GGAAGGTTAGTGGATGAGTTTGAGAATGTGTGTACAGGTAGAAAGTTGAAAGTGAACATAGAAAAGAGTAAGGTGATGAGGGTATTAAATGATTTAGATAAAGAAAAATTGGATATCAAATTGGGGAGGAGGAGTATGGAAGAAGTGAATGTTTTCAGATACTTGGGAGTTGACGTGTCGGCGGATGGCTTTATGAAGGATGAGGTTAATCATAGAATTGATGAAGGAAAAAAAGGTGAGTGGTGCGTTGAGGTATATGTGGAGTCAAAAAACGTTATCTATGGAGGCAAAGAAGGGAATGTATGAAAGTATAGTAGTACCAACACTCTTATATGGATGTGAAGCTTGGGTGGTAAATGCAGCAGCGAGGAGACGGTTGGAGGCAGTGGAGATGTCCTGTCTAAGGGCAATGTGTGGTGTAAATATTATGCAGAAAATTCGGAGTGTGGAAATTAGGAGAAGGTGTGGAGTTAATAAAAGCATTAGTCAGAGGGCAGAAGAGGGGTTGTTGAGGTGGTTTGGTCATTTAGAGAGAATGGATCAAAGTAGAATGACATGGAAAGCATATAAATCTATAGGGGAAGGAAAGAGGGGTAGGGGTCATCCTCGAAAGGGTTGGAAAGAGGGGGTAAAGGAGGTTTTGTGGGCGAGGGGCTTGGACTTCCAGCAAGCGTGCATGAGCGTGTTAGATAGGAGTGAATGGAGACGAATGATACTTGGGACCTGACGATCTGTTGGAGTGTGAGCAGGGTAATATTTAGTGAAGGGATTCAGGGAAACCGGTTATTTTCATATAGTCGGACTTGAGTCCTGGAAATGGGAAGTACAATGCCTGCACTTTAAAGGAGGGGTTTGGGATATTGGCAGTTTGGAGGGATATGTTGTGTATCTTTATACGTATATGCTTCTAAACTGTTGTATTCTGAGCACCTCTGCAAAAGCAGTGATAATGTGTGAGTGTGGTGAAAGTGTTGAATGATGATGAAAGTATTTTCTTTTTGGGGATTTTCTTTCTTTTTTGGGTCACCCTGCCTCGGTGGGAGACGGCCGACTTGGTGAAAAAAAAAAAAAATAATATTTTGAAGACTAATTTGAAGATAAATGATTCAGAGAACCGACAAGTTGATAAATTACACATGTGCAATATTTTTGTATCTTTATTGAGGAAATGTTTTTCCACACAGTGGTTAATCAATCCATCAATCATGAAAACACTGATGGACTGATTACATTGTCTCCAGGATGAGGGACTGATTACCTCAACTTCTTCTGTTCATCCCCATTCTTCTTTGTATAGGACTGATGAAGCCACTGTGTGGTGAAATGTTTCCTCAGTAAAGATACCCAAGTGTTGCACGTGTGTCTGATTCACAGACTTGAAAAGTTCCTCTCAGGATATACAACAGAAGAAAAAATCTAATACCCAGTAATATACTCAAGCAAAGATACAAACAACACACAGTGGTACATCGGGATACGAATTTCATTCCAGAAGGCTGTTCGAGTGCCGATACCGAACGAATTTGTTCCCATAAGGAATAATGTAAATTAGATTAATCTGTTTGAGACCCCCAAAAATACCCTTACAAAAGCACTTACGTAAATACACTTACATAATTGTTCGAGTTTTGGGCTGTTCGTATCCCGAGGCACCACTGAAAATGTTCGTATCCCGAGGCACCACTGAAAATTAAAATATTTATTTCCTTGCAAAGCTTACAATGTGTGGTTTTCATATTATAAAACATTGATAAATTAGACACATGTGCAACTCTTGGGTATCTTTATTAAGGAAACGTTTTGCCACACAGTGGCTTCATCAGTCCATACACAGGAGAAACTTGAAGAACAGGAGGAGAATGAGGTAATCAGTCCCTCAACCTTGAGTCGATGTGGTCAGTCCATCAATTTTATAAGTTTTATAATGATGATTACCTCATTCTCCTCCTGTTCTTCAAGTTTCTCCTGTGTATGGACTGATGAAGCCACTGTGTGGCGAAACGTTTCCTTAATAAAGATACCCAAGAGTTGCACATGTCTCTAATTTATCAACATGTTGGTTCTGTGAACCATTCATCCACAATTATAAAACATTAATTACAAAGAAGGTCACTAGCATGCCTAGGCATTTCGGGCAGATTAATCCTAATTCTTGCTCTATATGGAAAATATTTTTTGGAATAATGGAAAGAAATAAAACCAGAGGCTACAGTTATTGTGAAGAGAAGAGGTGCGGAAAAATATAATAGGACGTACAGTATGTACAGATTGATAGAGAGCAACCATCCATGGAAGTTTGATAAATGTTTTGCACTCTGGCAGGATTGCTGGTCATGTCTTTCTGTCTTATCAACATATAAGATGGCCAGTCAATATTGCAAACTTCTACTTACATTCATTGTGCACTGTCCATTATTTTCACATGACTTTCTTATTTCTCACACCTCCTAACTTTTCTTTCTAAATTGTTTGGAGTGACGTCTAAACCGTCGTATCTGAGCGCCTCTGCAAAGACAATGATTATGTATGAATGATGGTGAAAGTGTTTTTTCTTTTGGATCACCCAGACTCAGTGGGAGACGGTCGATGTGTTAAAATATATATATATATATGTATATATATGTATTAGTGTTATTAAATACTATCTCAAGATGTGAGATATTAAAAATGTGATTAAATTTTTGTGTTAGGGTAGCAACTAATAGATGTTACAAAAATATTATTTCACTGTTGTATATTGATTAGGCCTTTGGTGATCAGTAGGATTATTATTATGTATGTAGTAAATTCAATGAAGAGCCTGATTGTTGACCCTGAGGTCCAGCACACCTGAAACTGCAAGTACGTACTTAACCTTTAAGGAATTACTCAGTCTTGGTCCCTTCAAGGAGGTGTCTTGAGGCTTGGGAAAGGCTCTTGAGACAAGGAAGTGGAGCTAGCCTCCTCGATCACACTGATACCATCATGACTGGGAGGCTTAATGACCTATGATTAAGTGCTGTAAGAGATTTTGAGATAAGATTTGTTTGAATTTTAACCCATAGGGTTAGCCACCCAGGGTATGCAAATGGCAAGTGTATCATCAATACTTAGAGTGATACTGGCTACCTCAGAATTTCGTATTATACAGCATCAAAGTTGCGTTTTCTCCCCAAATAAGTCAAAAATTTACCCAGTGTCTGAGGCCAAAGTATGTTAATCTATTTTTCATTTTAGCCATGAACTGGAGGGGTGTCTTGCACAGATATCTGTTCACCATAAAATATGTATTTTTCTCACATTCAAGACTTGAGTACTCATACTTGTTTTAACGTTGTTTATAAATGCTATTCAACACGTGTAATTTATATTTACAAACTAGAATTGTTTAAGAATAAGGTGTTCTTCTAGTACATTATTACAAAACTCACTTTTTATAAACTGTTTAGAATGAAATAAATGCTAGTAGCAAATGCTAGTAGCAAATGCTAGTAGCAAAGGGTAAAGCTTGTTCACATACAAAGGAGAAAGCTTGTTCAAATACAATACTGTATTACAAATTATACATAAATCAAAATGCAGTTCTCCATAATGTATATTTTTATATGCAACACATGACACAGTATCTGGACACATACTTTAACTATGACCTTGATACATGTAGAGTAGTTTAGAAATGTCTTAAATTTTCCTTACTGTTTTGGTGTACAATGATGTCTGTGTCTGAGGAGTGTTTTTCGTTGCCTGTTTTATAGAATACCTGTTAATGCTCTTTGGAGATTTTAGATTTTAGCATCTGTTAATGAGTCCCAGTGTTATCCTTCTCTTGTTTAGAATTAGTGGTGTGCTATAAATAAAGCTGTTATCTTACTTTTTAATTGTTAATAAACTTGTCTCGTTGTATTCCATGTTATAGTCATTTTTTTCCAACTCAGGTATACTTCAGGCAATGCAAAGACATTTATGTTTGAACCAGCCTTTATTAAGCTACATTTCTCTCAACAGTGAGGGAAACATTGGCTAATAACAGCTATAAGTGTCTCTGTATTGCCATAGATGTCAACGTTGTGTTTCAGATATACCTTGGCAATGATGTGATAGAGGGAGAGAGGAGTTTTAGTTGGTTCCTGTCCACTATGTTTTCATTCAGAATGGTATATTAATATAGTAAAATATGCATTAAATGAGACAGTATAAGTTCCATAAATTATGGTCCGGCTATGTGGCTGAGTGCAGATGTCAGGGTATATTTAAATTTAGGGATAATGGAATTGTTATTTCTTCGGGCATTTTGCATTATGAAAAATACAGTTGCCACCCACGGATAGTCTTAATTTTTAAGTTTCAAGAATATTAATTTTAACAGACCATATCACACAGTTATTGGTATCTTATTGGTGATAAATAGAATTTGTAGAAAAAATTTGTAATGAATATAGAAACCATTTTGAGGCATTTTCTTTTACTTTAAATCAAATGTCTTTTTTCTTATAACACAATAATCTTATTATGAAAATTGTTACCATACCTTTAATGAATAAGCAGTTAATAATGACCTAACAATGAAACCCTTATTAGTGCTTTTAAGTGTAACAAAAATCAATTACCGGGAAGAAAAATGCACTCGAGGACAAAAACAGAAATCATTGTCTGTTTAATTTGATCTCCAATGGAGGTATTTGCTAAGGAATGCCTCAGTTTGGGGGTTAAAATTCAGGAGGGCCCCCATATGTACAGCACCTTTTTGGTGTTCCATGTTTTCATTGGCTTCAAATTGAGCCATGTTCATTATGTTCCACTCATTGGTGATGTTCACTGGTGGATGGAACAGTGGCTAAGTTGAAAGCCAGCGAAAACATGAAATACCAAAAATAGGTGCGGTATATGGGAGTCCCTCAGTATACAGACAACCACACTGTTTCTGTCTCTATGTGCGTTTTTCTCTCGTGTTCAACTCTTGTATAGCTCTTGTCCAAGCTACAACATATAGTGCACTGATTTCATAATTTTCATGCTTCTAGGAATCAACAGTTAACCACCAGGTATGCAAAGTGTTGTTTCTTTCCACTACGTCAGCCAGCAGCTTGTAAGATCCATTTGACCATTAGCATAAGCACCTTAAAATGACCTGACAATAATTTTTAATATCCCAACTATTTGGAGATCAACTCATCCAAGAATTAAGAGAGGTTATATTGTAAATAACCCAAATAATAGTTTTTTTTGTAAATGTGATGAATGCTTGAAAAGATTGTTCAGAGATTTTTATACATATTTATATATATTCAGACCGGGATGATTTAAATGCCAGGAGCAAGGGGCTAGTAACTCCTTCTCCAGTACAAATTACTAAAAGTAAAAAGAAGAAAAGCTTTATAAAGTTTTCTTCGTTTTCGAGTCACCCTGCCTTGGTGGGAGACTGCTGCTATGCTGAAAAAATATTCACTGTTAACATTAAATATCTAAGTACAATGTAGTTTTATAAATTTAGAACAAAAATATATTCATTACCTTTTTCAACAACATGCCATGGAAATTAAACCTACCAGTTTGTATGTTTTCTTATTAATTTCTCTATTTTTTTTCACCGTAAAATAATTTCTTGGCTAAAGTTGGTTAACATCTCACAAGCAGACATAGGTAAGGAGGGGTGTTAATGTTGCAGTTTAAAAACTGTAGTGTAAAGCACCCTTCTGGCAAGACAGTGATGGAGTGAATGATGGTGAAAGTTTTTCTTTTTCGGGCCACCCTGCCTTGGTGGGAATCGGCCAGTATGATAATAAAAAATAAAAAATAATGATGAATAATAATGTGCCAGTTTCATTATTAATATATTTAGAGGGAAGCACTAAACCCATAAGGGTAATACAGAACTTGGAGAATGAAAAGCAGTCAGAATTGGTCCAAGGGGACAATTATACAAATGAAAGTTTTTTTCAGTGTGATACGTGTTTTTTGCAGAAATGGAAATCCCGGGAAACAATGTTGAAGGGCCAGGGTTTATGGGAGCTTTTTTAGCAAAGTTAAGCCAAATTTTAAATTTTTGTTTGACTTGAGCTGGAGGTGTTAAAGTAAAGTGTCTGAAGAAGAGGGGTTTTGTATTTGCTTTTTTAAAAATGAGTTTAGGCTGCCTTGGCAAGGCAGTGATGAGTAAATGTGATGAAAGTGTTTCTTCTTTTCTGGGTCTTTCTATTTGGTGGGAAACCCCGATGTTTTAAATAACAAAAATTTTTTTACTTTAAATGACTAAAAGTTTTAAAAACTATTTTTTTCAGGGGTGTAGGAGGTGTTGAAGTGGTTTGGGCAGCCAAAAAGGATGGAGATTTTAGGTGAAAAGAGGATGTAGAAACCCAGGGGGAAAGGAAGGAGAGGTAGGGGTGCTCCCTGGATGGTTGAGGGAAGGGGTAAAGGAGGTTTTAGTAGCAGAGGTTGAGCAGTTGCATACATGTGTGAATGTTTAGAAGGGGAAGTGGAAAAAAATTTTTTTTCAGGGTTGGAGATGTTTTTTGTGGGAGTGGATTATTTTGATGGGAATTTTAGAAAATCTGATTACCCGGATGATCCGGGAGGGGGGAAGCTCGTCCCTGCACTCTGAAGGTGTAGGAATGTTAACATTTGGAAAGGCACATTTTGGCAAGAAGTATTGAGGGAATATTTGTGAATTTTTCCCTTTTATCAGTAAAACCTACCTTGGTGCAAGACTGTTCTTGTTTTAACAAAAAATTTGAGAAAAAAATTATAGCTTTAATAATAATCAAATAAAAATGAACTTGTGAACAAGGTGGATTAAATTTTGTGGGCCCCCGGGGTACGGTGTCGTGAGGCCCCGGGGGTTACGGTTTTTTGTGGCCCCCGGGGTTTACAAGTACTGGAGGCCCCCTGGGTACGGGTGTCATGAGGCCCCTGGTTACGGTGTTGTGAGGCCCCTGGGCTACAAGTACTGTGGGCCCCTGGGGCACAGGTGTTGTAAAAGGCCCTGGGTTACAGGTGTTGTGAGGCCCTGGGCTAAAAAGTACTGTGGGCCCTGGGCTACAGGTGTTTGAGGCCCCTGGGTTACAAGTAAACGTGAGGCCCCCTGGCTATGGGTTGTGAGGTCTGGGCTACAGGTGTTGGGGGCCCCGGGGGCAAAGGGTGTTGTGGGCCCCTGGGTAAGGTTTTGTGAGGCCCGGGTAAGGTTTTGTGGGGCCCTCTGGGCTACAGGGCCTTGAAATTTGTTGGAATTCTCGGAGGCCCTCCAGCTGACAGTGGCCCCTGGGCTGCAGCCCCAAAAACCCTTTCTTTAACCAGCCCTGCTTCTGAATGTCCCAAAGGGGTTTGTGCTTGCCATGAATAAAAAATAATCATCAATTTAATGTAATACTGTAATATAAAAAAATGAAAGAAAGATTTTCTATAGTTAAAAATTGTTAAGGTGTTTTGGGGCACTCGTAAGTGGGTTTGCTCTACCAGAAATTCTCTCGCTGATCTTAAACTTATTTTTGCTTTTTGGACTCTTTTCTGGTGTTTTATGTTAAAAATGATGTAAAGCTTTGAGTATTTTTATTATTTTAAATTTCCAAACCCCAAATTCCCAAGATTTAAAAAAAAAATTGTGGGGAAATTTTTTGTTTCCCCTTTAAAAACGTTCAAACATATTAGTTCACTCCTCACCCCAATTTTTGGAGGAAAAAAAATCTTTTCTTTTAAAAGGGAAAAAAAAGAGCTATTGTGCCAGGCATCCCCAATTTTTTTTAATTTGGCACACAGTGAGTGCGCCACCCATTCTCTCATGTTAGGTGATCAGGCTTATTGTGGCAATGTTGAATGAAAGACAAAAAGGGAAAAATATATACGTTTGGGGCGCTCCGCGGGAACGTATTATACGTTTGGACCGTTTTTAAAGGGGGGAAAGGATTCACAGGTAAAAAAAATAAGGTTCTTTGTTGAAATTTCTTGAATCGGGTCAGTAATTAAAAAAAAGGGATGAAATGGATGACATTTTATTTATTATTTTTACAAATTTGCATGCAAAGGGCTGAATAAAATGACTTAGAATACTGTGATAAATGAACATTTGTGCAACATTTTCAGCGGAAATTTTAAAAAGCCCTTGAAGGGCCCTTTCTTACCATTATTTTAAACACATTTATTTTGATTTAGTGTTCTTTTTTAAAACTTTGGCTGGTCATTTATAAAGTAAGACTTATTGGTGTTGAAAAGAAAAAAAAAATTTATAATATGGAGGTTTTGGGCCTAGATGATCGAACTTTTAAATTTCAAACTAAAAAAGGATGATTAACTAAAGCAGTTAGCATAATATTTAATATATTTAAAGACAGTTCTTTGGTTAAGAGATAAATTAAAAATTTAAAATTTGCATGTGTTTAACTGATATTTTATAAAAAAAAAGTCGGGATGAATTGTTTTTCATCCATTAAAACCAGTTAAAGCCAAGGTTTTGGTGGCTTTATCATCATCCCCAAAAATGGGGGGTAAAAGTCGCATGAGTCTGGAAAAATCTAAATAATTCTAAATCAGTTATATTAACATATGATTTCATTCAGTAAATAGTTGATTCGGTCTTTTTTGAAGTGCTGCTATTTTTGGGGTTTAAGTTTTTTAAATTAAAAAATTGGTAAATGCAGTTAGCTTGGTGGCGCCATACAGTTTTTATTCAGCTTTTTTTCGCCAAAAGTATTTCATTGTTTTTTTTCTCAGTTTTTTACCCTTTCTCCAACTTCACTATTTTTGTTTTTTTTATTTGAGGCAAAACATTGCTTTTATCCTTTTTAATTTTTGATATTGTGTTTTTAAACTTTTTTCAAGCAATTCAATCTTTTTTACACAAATAAACCAACATAGGGAGGGAGCTTTCAATGATGATTTGGTCCCTTGGACCAGAAAGTTGTCGTAAATTTCTTGCTATGTGCAGATTATTGTGCACCTTATTGTTTTAACCCTTAAACTGTTGAAGGAGATCTGTTCACTCGGTGGGTCCGACGTGGATTTGTTCAGAGCACGTGCGAGTGAACTTGTTACGTTTTGGGCAGTTCAAATTGCTAAACCGTTTTCACAAAATTAGCAATTCTGTCTTTTTTTAGGTTTGTCATCATTTAGTGTTTTTAGAAAGACTATGGTGGAGGAAATTATTTGTGAGGGGCCCCAGGCAATACTTAAATCTTATTATGAGTGTGAGAACTTCTAATATGTGGTGAGTAATTTCCCCTTATTATTTGACAATCTTGCAAATTTTTTGCACATTTTCACCTGGTAAAAAAGGGGTGAGGGAACAACGGATCTTTATTTGTGTGACATTCCATCTACACGAGGGTTGTGAATCCTGGTAGGCTTCATCCACACGAGGCTTTATGAATCCCCCACGTAGATAAATCACGTATCTTAGGTCGCCCCTGTGTGATGTCTTTATACACTTGTGAATTAAAAACTTATCAGCTATGCCTAACTTGAACCACATTTCCACCTCTTAGAAACCACCTCTGTCATGATACTTGTATTTTCAAAAACTTGGTTTAAAAAACTTGTTTTAATCTTGCAAACTTGTTGTGCTTCTGTTAATGTTTTAGCCTAACATTTATATTTCCTTTCTCTGTGTGTGTATATTTATTAAAGCTTTTCACAGAATGCTTTTCACGCATTTGATACTCATATTTCTATTTAGTAATCTCGTAACTGATGAAAGTTTGTGTGTTTTTCTATGCCAGTCTTCAAACTGTAAGGTATGTCTGAGACATTAATTTTTATTTGTGTAAAATACAAGGTAACTGTTGACATTCTCAGTCACACGCTATGACTTCAATATGCTAAAATTTTATCATTAAATAAGATTTCTAAGAATCCTTGCATATTGCAAATGTAATTTTTGTTATTTAAAGTTAACGTTATTTTCAAGAGCCTCAAAAAATCAAATGCAGTGTGTTTGTGAAATATATTAGTTTTATTTATACGAGAATTGTCTTTGGTCTTGGATGTGTATACGGGCAATTGATTCTTGAATGTGTGTGCGTGCATGTTTACACATGCATGCGTGTGTGTAATGCGAATGGAATCTATGCTCTTTGACTAGTTACTTTCAAGCAATTAAACTCTTTTATGACATATACGCTGGTACATAATATTCCATACAGTAATATTTTTGTTCATGACATTGGCACAGTTCAGCTGTTCATTCTATTGTACATTTCTATGAATGATCCCACATATAAATTTAATTACTTGTGTGTTTCAATCAATAATTGGCAGCTAGTGCACCAGAATCAAAATGTAATATATTGGGAAAAATTGACATGCAAATCTGAGTTTTTGTGTTCTGTCTATGCAAGTTTGATTTTGCATGCCTTATGAGTTTCGACCACTCAGCTATTTTGCTGACTGTTTTTTAATGTGGCTCATTCAGGCCTCTTGTATCCACCTGCTCAACAAAAAGCTAAGCAATTCAAAGCATGTTTGCCATACCAAATGCCTCTATAATTTTTACAGTTTTAGGCCTTGAGAAATATTTAAATTATCATAAACATGCAGTTAATTTGAGCATACAATAATAACAATGCATACAATATAAATGCATACAATAACAAAGATTCGTATAATAATACAATAAAAATACATTTAATAAAAATGCATACGGTAAAAATACATACAATAAAAATGCATACGATAAAAACTGCATACAGTAAAAATGTATACAATAAAAATGCATACAATAAAAACTGCATACAGTAAAAATGTATACAATAAAAATGCATACAATAAAAACTGCATACAGTAAAAATGTATACAATAAAAATGCATACAATAAAACTGCATACAGTAAGAAGAAAGGTGAGCTAACAGCTGTTGTATCACTGAGTCACATGTCTCTTTGTTTCATAAATAAAATCAGTTTTTAAATACAAAAAAATTGACTTGGATTTTCTCCATCAAGAACAAAAAGGTACAATACTGTGAATGGAACACTAAACAAATAACCTGCACATAGGAAAGAGAGAGGATCTGACCATGATGTTTCAGTCTGACTTGGATCATTTAGAAGGTCACACCAGTCCAAGCCAGATCAAAACGTTGTCATAAGCTCCTCTCTCCTATATGTGGGTTATTTGTGTATTTCTCCATCAATATTTCCTTATTGAACATTAAAATGGTATAAAATACCGACAGGTTGTTAGGTAAGACACATATGCAACAGTTAGGTATCTTTATTTTGAAACGTTTCGCCTACACAGTAGGCTTCTTCAGTCGAGTACAGAAAAGTTGATAGAAGCAGAAGATACTTGAAGACGATGTAATCAGTCCATCACCCTTAAAGTTTTGAGGTGGTCAGTCCCTCAGTCTGGAGAAGAGCATTGTTCCATAGTCTGAAACGATATTGTTTCATTCTATGGAACAATGCTCTTCTCCAGACTGAGGGACTGACCACCTCAAAACTTTAAGGGTGATGGACTGATTACATCGTCTTCAAGTATCTTCTGCTTCTATCAACTTTTCTGTACTCGACTGAAGAAGCCTACTGTGTAGGCGAAACGTTTCAAAATAAAGATACCTAACTGTTGCATATGTGTCTTACCTAACAATATTTCCTTAGTTTTTTCATTCACTTGCATCCCAGATCACTGACTCACTAAGTTGCAGCATTGTCACTAATCTCTCAGAGTGCTGGCACCATGCTTCTCACATTCAAAATATAAGCCACGGAATGAGTGAGATTTGAACCCATGGTGCATCGTAAAACTCCAGGTCGTGGGTTTAAACCCTACTTGTTCTGTGAGTTGTTTACAATCATGTTATTACAATTTCATGAGTCCAAAATATAAGCCAAGCTATCCAGTTTAACAAAATTGAAATTTTTATTTCTTTGCAGCACAAAATGATGTAGTTCATGAGTAATATAATATTGGTAGGAACAAAAGAAAGTCACTAGTACGTAATGTATTTTAGTCATGCTAATCCTAATGCTTAAAGATTACTTAACCCTTTCAGGGTTTTGGACGTACTAGTATGGCTTACGCACCAGGGTTTTTGACGTACTAGTACGCCTAAATTCTAGCACCCTCAAATCTAGTGAGAGAAAGCTGGTAGGCCTACATATGAAAGACTTGGTCTTTGTGGTCAGTGTGCACAGTATAAAAAAATCCTGCAGCACACAGTGCGTAATGAGAAAAAAAAACTTTGACCGTGTTTTTGGAATAAAACAGCGACTTTGCACTGTATTTTCGTATGGTATTTATTGTTGTATTCCAGTTTTCCTGGTCTCATTTTATAGAATGGAAGACATATTACAGAAATTGAGATGATTTTGACTGGTTTTACAATGAAAAGTACCTTGAAATTGAGCTCAAAGTAGCAGAAATGTTCGATTTTTACCAAAGTTTAAGAGTAAACAAATCATGCCAAGCGTCCAATACACGTCAACTGGTGAGTCTAATATTCTTTCACAAGTGCGCTGATGTTATTTATACCATTTCTACACTAATGCAATAGTCTGCATAACAGTAAATCTTCTATTTTTTGTAAGAATAAAAATTCAAAGTGGAAAGCCAAAGAAATATAAGAGGGGCCTGGGGATGTGACTAACAAACAGAGAACTTGTTATTTTAGTGCCAGGAATGTCTTTCTTGTTTATTCTGGACCCTATTCGGAAATTGGCATCTTTTGAAATTTGTGTGAAATTGGCAAAATTGCTAAATTCTGACCACTTTATTGGATAGTTGAAATCAGTAAATGGGTGGTTTCTTGTACTAATTCGATAGAAAAAATGGAGTTCTAGTGAAATTGTTATGGTTTTTGTTGACTAGTACGCTGGAATTGGCCAAAAATAGGGCTCAAAGTGGGCAAAATCGCATAAGAAAAAAATAATTTTTTTTTTTAAATTTGGCGACCTTTAGAATAAGTCTCGGAGAGGGCCTGGTGACCCTGAAAGGGTTAAGATTTAGACATACATGTATACTGTTAAGTAGGATTTCTAATGAAGTTAACTACAGTCATGTGTACATTAGGAAAGTAAGTAATGAACATCCCATATCATAAAAATCTTTGAAAGGGTCCTAAGAAGCAAGATCACCACCCATCTAGAAACCCATCATTTACACAACCCAGGGCAACATGGGTTTAGAACAGGTCGCTCCTGTCTGTCTCAACTACTGGATCACTACAACAAGGTCCTAAATGCACTAGAAGACAAAAAGAATGCAGATGTAATATATACAGACTTTGCAAAAGCCTTCGACAAGTGTGACCATGGCGTAATAGCGCACAAAATGCGCGCTAAAGGAATAACAGGAAAAGTCGGTCGATGGATCTATAATTTCCTCACTAACAGAACACAGAGAGTAGTCGTCAACAGAGTAAAGTCCGAGGCAGCTACGGTGAAAAGCTCTGCTCCACAAGGCACAGTACTAGCTCCCATCTTGTTCCTCATCCTCATATCCGACATAGACAAGGATGTCAGCCACAGCACCGTGTCTTCCTTTGCAGATGACACCCGAATCTGCATGACAGTGTCTTCCATTGCAGACACTGCAAGGCTCCAGGCGGACATCAACCAAATCTTTCAGTGGGCTGCAGAAAACAATATGAAGTTCAACGATGAGAAATTTCAATTACTCAGATATGGTAAACATGAGGAAATTAAATCTTCATCAGAGTACAAAACAAATTCTGGCCACAAAATAGAGCGAAACACCAACGTCAAAGACCTGGGAGTGATTATGTCGGAGGATCTCACCTTCAAGGACCATAACATTGTATCAATCGCATCTGCTAGAAAAATGACAGGATGGATAATGAGAACCTTCAAAACTAGGGAGGCCAAGCCCATGATGACACTCTTCAGGTCACTTGTTCTATCTAGGCTGGAATATTGCTGCACTCTAACAGCACCTTTCAAGGCAGGTGAAATTGCCGACCTAGAAAATGTACAGAGAACTTTCACGGCGCGCATAACGGAGATAAAACACCTCAATTACTGGGAGCGCTTGAGGTTTCTAAACCTGTATTCCCTGGAATGCAGGAGGGAGAGATACATGATTATATACACCTGGAAAATCCTAGAGGGACTAGTACCGAACTTGCACAGAAAATCACTCACTACGAAAGCAAAAGACTTGGCAGACGATGCACCATCCCCCCAATGAAAAGCAGGGGTGTCACTAGCACGTTAAGAGACCATACAAAAAGTGTCAGGGGCCCGAGACTGTTCAACTGCCTCCCAGCACACATAAGGGGGATTACAACAGCCCCCTGGCAGTCTTCAAGCTGGCACTGGACAAGCACCTAAAGTCAGTTCCTGATCAGCCGGGCTGTGGCTCGTACGTTGGTTTGCGTGCAGCCAGCAGCAACAGCCTGGTTGATCAGGCGCTGATCCACCAGGAGGCCTGGTCACAGATCGGGCCGCGGGGGCGTTGACCCCCGGAACTCTCTCCAGGTAAACTCCAGGTAATGGTACAATTTTAAAAGTGCCTTTCATATTTATTTCCTTGATTACTAGTACGTTGCATTCAGTTCAATAAAATCGCTTGCCTCCACACAGTTTGATAAAATACTGTAAGTTTATATACTTAAAGACACTCAGAACACACATCATCCTTCCATTCACAATACAGCCTCTCCTCACTTAACGATGGAGTTCCGTTCCTAAGACCTTGTTGGTAAACGAATTCATTGCTAAGTGAGGAGCATAATAAAATGGTAGTGGGTTTGTGTCAACCATCTTTGATAATGTTTT